CATCGTCATCATCATCATCATCATCATCATCATGTGCCAGCGATGTTTACCAGCCACAGGGCATGCAGAAAGAGATCACAAAATGTGCGGCTGCGCTCGAAAGAGTGCAGAACATTACTTTGGTCAGCGGAAGTATGGTGAGCACACCATCGTTTTGATAGTGTGTCGGCTGTGTCGGAAAAAAAACATCAGAGCCTGGTGGAACTCGATGAAAGCGAAGCAACTTACTCACAAACAACTTACCCTACGTACATACATACATAGATACCTAAATACATACATACCTACCTACCTACCTACCTACATACATACCACCATCGTCCCTCCATCACTCTTATCCTTCCTCTTCCCTTCTCGCTTTCTGTGCTCCGTCTAAGTCTGTTTCTTCACTGAGGTCGATGCCTTCGTCCTTACCAAACGGTTCGGCTTCGGTCGAGCCGACACCACGTTGGCCGGTGGTGGGGACGTTAATGGGAGGCTTCACACTCACTCACACTCACTCACACTCACTCACATTCACTCACACTCACACTCACTCACACTCACACTCACTCACACACATTCACTCACATTCACTCACTCACTCACTCACCTACCTCACCTAACTCACCTACCTCACCTACCTCACCTACCTCACCTACCTCACCTACCTCACCTACCTCACCTACCTCACCACCTACCTCACCTACCTCACCTACCGCACTCACTCATTCACCCACTCACTCACTTCACTTCACTTCACTTCACTTCACTTCACTTCACTTCACTTCACTTCACTTCACTTCACTTCACTCACTTCACTCACTCTCACATCCCTCACTCACACACACCACACTCGCATCACTCACTCACACTCTCACTCACTCACTGTACATGAACATACATACATACACACAAACTCACCCACCATCACCGCTCCATCACTCTTATACTTCCTCTTCCCTTCTTGCTCTTCTATGGTCAGTCTAAGTCTAAAGAAGTTGGTAACATGTGGGGTTATCCGGTCCTTTAATTTTTTTTGCCTCACATTATTCTGTTTGCTTACTTTCTCGTATCTATTCACTTTCATACTGGCTCTCACAACTTACTCTATCTATGTATGTGGGTGGGCTTGCGAATGGCATTTTTCTGTGTTTTCAGACCCTTTTCAGACCTGTTTCAGGACCAATTGGGCAGTCGCTTCCAATTTACAGACTCAGGGTAGCTCCAGCTTTCTATGACTACTACTAATGCTACCATTATTACTTTTAATATTAATGTACTTCTACTATTATTGGTGTTGTTATTGCTGTTATTACCGCTACTAATCTTATTTGATTGCTACTACTAATACTAAAATTATTGTTGTCTTTATAATGGGTATGACTTTCTTTCAATATTATTGCTACTATTATTACTATTTCTTTGACTACTGGTACTATTACTACTACTGCTACTACTACTCCTGCTGCTGCTGCTACTACTACTACTGCTGCTGCTGCTACCACTACTACTCCTGCCGCTACTACTACTACTGCTACTACTACTCCTGCTGCTGCTACTACTACTACTACTGCTGCTGCTGCTGCTACCACTACTACTACTGCCGCTGCTACTACTACTACTGCTGCTGCTGCTGCTGCTACCACTACTACTACTACTACTACTACTTCTACTACTACTACTACTCCTACTCCTACTCCTACTCCTACTCCTACTACTACTACTACTACTACTAGTACTACTACTAGTACTACTAGTACTACTACTACTACTACTACTACTCCTACTCCTACTCCTACTCCTACTCCTACTCCTACTCCTACTACTAGTACTACTAGTACTACTAGTACTACTACTACTACTACTACTACTCCTACTCCTACTCCTACTCCTACTCCTACTCCTACTCCTACTCCTACTCCTAGTACTAGTACTACTAGTACTAGTACTAGTACTAGTACTAGTACTAGTACTACTACTACTACTACTACTACTTTTATTGTTATTACAAATGCTACCACTGCTGCTGCTATTATTACTATTGCTACTAATTTTACTTTTGCTATTACGACTACTACTACTATTATTATTAATTTTAGTACTGGTACTTTACTGATTGATTTTTTGTTGCTGGTTTATTTTTTATTTACGCATTATCCACTCACCGGTTTCAATTCTTTGGCTTATTTATTTTATTTCACATGTATTAATTTCTTGCTTATTCACGTACTTGCTTTACTTACTTTACTTTCTGTCTGTACTTTACGGGCAATACCTATGTTACTCACTTGCTTACTTGAAAACCTCTCTTGTTAATTCTCGACTGATTTCGTTACTTTACCTTTTCTTGTTTTTTACTTTCTCTCTTTAATTTGCCTCGTATTATTCTGTTTGCTTACTTTCCTGTGTGGATTCACTTACATACTCTCTCTATGTATGGCACTTTTCCGTGTTTTCAGACCCTTTTCAGACCTGTTTCAGACCAATCGGGCAGCCGCTTCCAACTTACAGACCATTGAATTTCTGAAGTTTATTGTTCATTGGTAGTTAATCGGGGTTGCCCATAGGTGGTAATACTTACTGACCATCCAAGTTCATGTTTCATCACCATTATTGATACGGAAACCACCAGTCTTGGGGGCACACCATTCTTGTACAAACCCGTATTGGAGATTCATGATGGTCAGTATGGAGATTGATGATGTTCAAGTATGGAGATTCATGATGGTCAGTCAAGAATGGGTAGTAACCAATTGAGACCATCGTAATAATATATCCAACAATGATGGCCGAAAATGATTGTGATGAATGGGTAATGACCAACGATACACGGTTTCATAATACCCCAGAAGGATAAACTGGATACACCCAGGAGAGTCTTAGTATCTGGATGAAAGTGTACGGAGGAACATACAAGGCTCAGCCAACACATATATGGTCTCGGACCGATTCCGGACTGCGCGCACTCTGGTTGGCGGCGCAGCCTGTATACACCTATGACTAATTTGGATGAAAGTGTATGGTGGAGCATACAAAACTCAAACTAGAAAGCGGAATATATTATTTCCGACCGATTCCGGACCGCGCGCACTTTGGTCGGTGTTACAAGGCGTGTACACCTTTGACTAATTTGCATGAAAGGGCGCGGGGGAACTTACAATGCTCAACCTTAGAAATTCTTACATGATTTCGGACTGATTCCGGACCGCGCGCACTCTGGTTGCCGGCACAGCCTGTATACACCTATGACTAATTTGGATGAAAGTGTATGGTGGGGCATACAACACTCAAACTAGAAACGAATATATGATTTCGGACCGATTCCGGACCGCGTGCACCCTGGTCGGCGGCACAACCTGTATACACCTATGACTAGTTTGGATGAAAGTGTATGGTGGAGCATACAAAACTCAAACTATAGAAAGGAATATATGATTTCCGACCGATTCCGGACCGTGCGCACTCTGGTCGGTGGTACAAGGCGTGCACACCTTTGACTAATTTGCATGAAAGGGCACGGGGGAACTTACAACGCTCAACCTTAGAAATTCTTACATGATTTCGGACCGATTCCGGACCGCGCGCACTCTAGTTGCCGGCACAACCTGTATACACCTATGACTAATTTGGATGAAAGTGTATGGTGGGGCATACAACACTCAAACTAGACACGAATATATGATTTCGGACCGATTCCGGACCGCGCGCACTCTGGTAGGCGGCACAACGCGTGCACACTTATGACTACTTACTTTGCATGAAAGGGCACGGGGGAATTTACAACGCTCCTCACGTATACTGCCTGATCCACCCACCACCGCGCAACACACAGACTGCTATGTGTTTTCAGACCCTTTTCAGACCCGTTTCAGACCAATTGGCAGCCGCTTCCAACTTACAGAGTCAGGGTAGCTCAAGCTGTCCCTTACGATTAGTAGTAGTAGTAGTAGTAGTAGTAATAGTAGTAGTAGTAGTAGCAGTAATAGTAGTAGTAGTAGTAATAGTAGTAGTAGTAGTAATGCTAGTAATAGTAGTAGTAGTAGTAGCAGTAGTAGTAGTAGTAGTAATAGTAGTAATCGTAATCGTAATCGTAATCGTAATAGTAGTAGTAGTAGTAGTAGTAGTAGCAGTAGTAGTAGTAGTAGTGGTAGAAGTAGTAGTAGTAGCAGTAGAAGTAGTAGTAGTAGTAGTAGGAGTAGTAGTAGTAGTAGTAGTAGTAAATAATAATAGTAGTAGTACTAGTAGTAGTAGTAATCAAAATGTTAATTTAAAAAAGTACTCGTAATAATGATAACAGTAGTACTTGCGCGTACCTTGGGCCGGCCTTGCGCGAAACTTGCGCGATGCAGGTTTTAGACCGTGGGAAAAATGGGTAAATAGGTCCTTTACTAAAAACCTTTCTGGGGTTTTTGGACGGCTCCCATATATCTATATATATATATACAATTATATACACACATATAGGTCAGGTAGGTCAAGTAGATGTACCTGATAGGACAAATTGTGACTGTGATTTCCTCCTATCTAGTCTCCGTATTTCTCGATGGTCCACAATTGATTTGGGACACCGATCGGATCGGCTGCGCTCAAGAATGTCGTTACTGTCCCCCTGAAAGCGCAAGTCAATCCCCACCTTCCAGCTACAACATGAAACAATAAAGTGCCAGCCTATAGGGGGCAATGCCAAGGAAACCCACGGCTCACCCAACTCTGCGTCCAGGTATCTATCTGATTTGGTCTCTCACTGAGAGCTAGTACATCTTGCCGCTTCTTAGACAGGTTCATGCCCACCACTTGCGCAAACTTCAGCTTTCCAACTCGAATCACACGGCAGGTGCTGGCCTCGGACGCATCATCATGCATCCATTTTGGGGTTCCATGATGTTAAATGATGTTCCATGTTGCGTCTTGGCTGTGTATCAATGCCCGCAGCATCAGTGCTTGCGCTGCTTCCAAGTGGCCGTGATCACAGTCAAATGTGATAGCACTTGCTCCTCCTTCTCTAGGCATGCCTCGTCAATGATGAGAGGATGTCCTACGAGCTCGCGCGGCTTCTTGTGGATATCCCTTGCCTTAGATCCGCTGACGGTTGACGAATGTAGGATATGTCAGGTATTGGGAGTCCTGCGGGGGCCAAGAGCAACCTCGGGTGGTTGTCCAAACAATTGCTCATGGACCCTGTTGGTACGGTCGCCCGCCGAGCTGCGTTGACGTGTCCAGAAATCACAATGTAAGCACAGCGAGCTTCCACCCCGGCATTGCAGAGCGTTGTTTCTGCTAAAAGGTCCATGGTTTCCTCAGAGCAAGGGTCCTATCATAATATAGGGTCCATATGGGTCCATGTTGACCCGGAAATGTCATGAAATGATATGAAATGTCCACCACAGACTTGTCCATTTCAAAAATGTGCCTGATTTCAACAGGATAAGGACCGGACTGCCTCCTCGCATATCTGTCTGGTGTCCTCCTTGCTAATCTCAGACAGCACCGAAAGCTTCTGAACATGCAGCCAAACCTCAGTCCGACATCAACAAGATCTTTGCATCCAATTGGTAGAAATGACATTGTCAACGACCCTCAGGTGAATCTCGGTGGATCTCATGAGATCTCATGGCAAGTCACCTCGGCAAGGTTGACCTCCTTTTTCAAGGAATCCGGCAATTGCTTCAGGAAGTTCAGCTCTTTCGCCATGATGCGTCTGCCTGTGAACAAATGAGTAATATAGTCCTGGCACGGGGGAAGGGGGGCACCTGGCACCTGGCAGGGTGGGATTGTGAAGCAACATGTCGATTGCTTGGTTCTAAATCACCTAAATCCAATGCGTGACGCTTGAAACTTCTGTGGTGGGAGGGTGCTGGCAGGACCGTTGTGCATTTTGGTGAATCACTGCCACCGTTTGGCATTCACTGACCAGAATCATGCTACCTATAGGCACATCGTGCGGCTTGATGTGCTAATCAACGGCACCATCGTCCATACATGTCGCCGTGGTCCTTGATCTTTCGCTGGGAAGCATCATCTAGTTTCAGGTGATGCATGTGCCTCAGAGAAATGGAGAGAAATGGCGTGCTCGCTCTGACAATTTGGACATAACGTCGCACGACGTGTTGATTGAAGGGAAAATGTACCCGAAACTATGGTTTCCATCATTGAATATAGTGGTTCCTGTAAAACTTTCCCGTTGAATTCTTGGAGATTATCAATGACATAATTATTCAACATTATCCAATCAAATTACGATATGGACGAATGTAGACATGTGCAGACATATGAGAATCATAGGGGGCGTCTTTTTGGACATATGTCGACCTGGATGTTGTTCTAACATAGCCCTGCTTCCTCTGCAAGATCTTGCCGCGGTGCATGCGTAAGGCGAACATCTCATCTTTGAAACCACGGTTGCGCTCACTGATCTTGAAGTAAGTCTGTGTTAAAGAAGCCACCGACACTGCGAATGCAGACCTCGGCTCATCGATTTTTAAACGGCTGGCGGCAGTGCTGAACAGTGTCCAAGGCATGTAGAGTGCAGGCAAGTGACAGGGCGAAAAACATAAAGCAAAGTACAAAGGTACCTTAGCTGGACAGCTGGGCAAGCCCAGCAAGAACCTCCGCTTACCGCAACAATCCACAACATCTGCACTTCGAAGGCTGAACCCAACTGGAACCCAACTGACTCAAAGGAACAAAGGCATAAAGAATCAGACTCATAACAAAAATCATACCAAAAGCTACATACCAGAGAGTCTACAGGGGCCTCAAATAATCCCATCCCCGTAATATCAAACACCCCTTAGATACTTAGTAGATTTAGTAGGGAATTTCCACATAATTGGGCCATTGGGTCCATTTGCGGGGTGTTTGTCATATGACGGGGTGGGATGAGTGCCACCAACCATTTAAAAAAAGACGGCCGGATGATCTGCCGAGTTACGCTCTGCCAAGTTCACAGGCGTCACTTCCGCCGGCATGGTGCGCATAACTCCAAGCGTCCAGTAGAAGCAAAAAATGTAGGCTTCCTCGGATGAAAGGCATCCGATCTTGGATGAAGTATGATGAAGTATGATGATGTTTTGGGAAGCACTCAGTTTTGTTGCTGTCATACACCATGTATACAGCATACAGAACAGATTGCGTCACCTCGAAACGGATTCACGGCAAGAGTCGACCATTGGCTTTTCGGCAAAGCTCCACTCCTCCTCGCAAAGGCGCGGAAGGCGCGGAAGGCGCGGAAGGCGCGGAAGTGCATTACTGTGTACATGAACCACTCTTACCACAAAAAAAAAGCCTTAATTGAAGTCTAAATTGATATCTGCTAATTTCCAGACATAATTGTAAATATATTATAAAATATTATGAATATATATATATATACAGTATACCTATAGATGTTCCTGAGGGTCTCGTTTTTTTTGCCCCTTTGCCCAAATCTGCCTTTTTATCTAAGAGGCCTAAGAGGCGTTTTTTGACTTTTGGAGCGTTCTATCATTACAGATGTCTTTTAGTAGGTTTGACGCCAGTTTCCTGTTAAAGTTCGAAGATGTTTCAGAGGCAAAGGCTGAATAATTAACTAATCACAGAACCCTCGTTGCCGGGTAAAGCTCTGCTCATGGGCTGCTACTGCATGAAGCAGTTGCGCAGAGTATGCATCATATATTAAAAAGACGATATTATAAGATACTCTTTTTGTGTGACACAATTTTCCCGGCACGACACGGTTATCATGGCATGATAGGCTTACCATCAACTGCTGCGACGGCGACGAATGACAATTCTGTTTATGGCATGATCAGTTCCTGATCACAAAACCCGGGATCATCTAATTACTGGTATGATACGCTTTTCAGAGGCGTAATTTGCCGGGAAAAAGGCGTAATTTGCCAAAGGGAAACTACCAATTTTCAATGTCGACATTCGAGGTTTTTCAGGTATGATACGGGTGACAAACCATGGGCGCACGCAGCGCACATAGTCAAATTGAGCGATCCGGTTCTGATTTTTTTGACACTGGGACCATGGCTCCCGCTTCACCTGTCTTTGGTTCATGGGTTTTCTTGTCTTAAGCAGCTTTGCCGTCTTTCATACCATTCTAGCAATTTGCTCATCCCACACTGGCAAGTCATACAGGCTCTTCAGTCACTGATTTGGTGCTAGTAGCAGGCACCAACAGTATCCAACAGTTGTAGCATTGGAATCGCAACTTGGAATAGAACTACTTGGATATGACTCAGGGATGATCTTCCAAGGGCACTTTTCTTGCTCAAGAAAACTGCCAGGGGCGTTTTTTATGTTCCGGGGCTGGGATTTTGTACTCTTTGCTAAGAGGCCAAAATTTAGCACAGGTGGATGTTGCGGGTATCCATATATATATATAACTATATATATAACTATATATATATAACTATATATATATATATAACTATATATATATATAACTATATATATACATGTATATATATATACATATAGAGCCCTTTGAGAGTCTATGAGCTCTTCATAGCTCAGCTGACTTCATCCGAAAAAAGTGCCCTGCCTGGCCAATGCCATAAGATCGGCTGATGGTTGTCCAATGCGGCAAGCGCTCAGACGAGAGTCTGGTTGCGTCTGGAAGGAAGTCTGTGATGATGCTGTCGGGTCGACCTTCCCCAAACGACAAGCCACAGGATTTCGCGGCGTCCCCCATTGTTTCTCCTCTTTTCAGCCGTTTCATGCCGTTTCCCAACTTCAATGGCCAAACTCGGAAGCAATCTAGACTCTTAGCGTCCAAGTTTGAGAGGCTGGGGCCGGCTAGGGGAAAAGATGGGGAGAGAGAGAGAGAGAGCCAACTGGCTAAGCCACAAGCCAGATCTCCCTGGCTGTCAAATCTTTCATCCTGCTTGGTACATTCCAAAGTTGGAGACACCCGGCCTATCATCCAAAAAATGCCTCAGCTCAACAGCGAATGGAGCGGTCTTCTCTGATGCCTTTGCGATTGGTGGGGATGGGTTCCATTGGGAAACGTACGCCAAGTCACATGCATTCCAATGGCAAATTGCTACCTCAAATGCCAGGAACCCTGTCTGAAACATAATGATGACTTTGCACAAAGTGTCACCACACTGAAATTTGAAAGCCACATAAATTCTGCATCCGCGACCACCCACATCTGTAAATCTCAACAACATGGATGACGAGTTTTTGCCCAGTGACGATGACGAGAAGAACCCGCACTAGGTACATTGCCTGGATCACCGTCACCGATCCAATTCCTTGCGAGGCAATGCGGACGTCATGGAACGAAAAACCAAAACAACATAAAACGCTGCTTCAGCATCTTCCGATCACATCTTGAACTGTCTCTTGCAAGGGTCTGATTTCTAGCCGTTCCCAAATATCTTTGATCTTCTTGGCACGGAGCATCTTCATAAGTCGAATGATGCCTCATGGACTCATAGAGCTAATAATCAATCATGCATTTTGACAGCTGCAGGACAGGAACTGCTGCATGCATCTCGTAAGTGCATCTCACTGTGGACACTGATGCAGAACCATGCAGAATGCTCTCCGAGGCACGAAGAAATTTCAACATCCTGAGGGAATGAATGCAAAGAAAGCAATGCGATGGGCAGATGTGATGTGCAACCCTCACACTGCATTCTATCTCTCTCTCTCTGTGATGATGATCTAGGAATCTAGATGTTCCATCTCTTCATCCCAGTCGTCAGCGAACCATTCATCGTCCAAAGATCTTTGCCAATTTGGCCACGTGGAGCAAGGGACCTGCCCCGTCTGAACCAACAAAGGCATCGACTATCCGGCTCCATGGCATCGTGCTCAAGAAGTCCAAACTGAACCATCCACGCATGTACGCCCTTGCGATGACACCGTGGTCAGTGATGACTTCCTGATCATCACCTGGTGCGGGTCACAGTCCATCCTCTTCCCACTCTGTCATTGGTGATCCATATGGTGATCCATATGGTGATCCATATGGTGATCCACTATGATCCTTTGTGCCTACTTCGCACATCGAATATCATAGCATGTCATTGGGGCATATTGGGGCCACAAACTCAACTGCTCCGAGCCTGCAACTGTCAAGCCCGTGTCAAAGGTGACAAGGATGTCAGCTGTGAAACACAGGGTTGTCACCCAAAACCACACATCATCAAAAGTATCCTCTCCATAGTCTCGCTTAAAGGACAGCTGGAATGGGAGCACAAAGGCATCCATGAGCACTATCATCATCACGACCAAATCCCAAACCAACTTCGAAGTCCAGCCCGGAAAAATGATATATCGAGCAAGCCAACTGGGTGGCTTTGTATCGGCTAATTCCTTGGAAATCACAAGGCATAAGAGCTCCAAGACCAACACATGGCTCGTTTCATCTCGTTTCATACCTTGGACACACCATGAGTTCAGTTGGCAAGGCACTTCCACATCGTCCTCTTCGTCAAACTCTACGGTGGGTTGCGAATCAATCATGCTGCTCCTCAGTGGCACGGTAATCCGCGCTCCTGAAAAAATTACTTTACTTCGTGTGATCCCCACCATGACATTTATACATTTTCTTGCTGGCAAATCTTCTGGCATTCTATCTGACATATCTTCTGACATTCTATTTGGAATTCTATCTGGCATATCTTCTGGCATATGATCTGGCATATCTTCTGGCATTCTATCTGGCAAATCTTCTGGCATTCTATCTGGCATATCTTCTGGCACTCTATCTGACATATCTTCTGGCATTCTATCTGGCATATCTTCTGGCTATATTCTGACATATCTTCTGGCATTCTATCTCTTCTGGCATATCTATCTGGCATATCTTCTGGCATTCTTTCTGGGCATCTGGCATTCTATCTGGGCATATATTCTATCTGGCAATCATTCTGGCATTCTATCTCTATATCTTCTGCATTCTATCTATCTCTGGACATATCTTCTGGCATTCTATCTGGCATTCTATTTGGCATATCTATCTGGCTATCTCTGGCATTCTTCTGGCATTCTATCTGGCATATCTTCTGGCATTCTATCTGGCAAATCTTCTCTGCATTCTATCTGGCATATCTTCTGGCATTCTATCTGGCATATCTTCTGGGCATATCTTCTGGCATTCTATCTGGCATTCTATCTGGCATATCTTCTGACATGACATTCTTTCTAACTTTCTTCTGCACATTCTTTGTCCCATATCTTCCGACATGAGGTCCGGCAGGGAACACTTGGCGTGGATACTCGCGGTTGAGGTCCGGCAGGGAACACTGGGCGTGGATGGTCGTGGTTGAGGTCCGGCAGGGAACACTGGGCGTGGATGGTCGTGGTTGAGGTCCGGCAGAGAACACTGTGGATCGCGGGTCGCAGTTGAGCAAGGACGACGAGGACGACGAGGACGACGAGGACGACAAGGATGACAAGGAGGACGAGGAGGAGGAGGAGAGGAGGACGAGGCAGGAGGAGGCGGAGGAGGAGGAGCAGGAGGAGGAGGAGGCAACTGACATAAAATCTAATAACCCTCACCTGGCAGGTGGGGAAAAAAGTCTTTCCCAAACTCATAAGGTTTCAGCACTAATAGAGACCTACCTGGGTCTACCTGGGCCTCTAGTGACTCTAGTGGACCTACAATCCTGAAAAATACAACTGCCATCAACTGCCGGGCAGTAACTGCCATCTGTTTGCGGAGCCAAGGAACTTTCCTTTCCTGGACGCATCGTCATCGTGAAATGTGGCGATGGACACCGTGGACCTTGCTCCAGGACCTGGCCCATTGACAACGCAACCGCCGAAAAACTGCCTAGCTCGCTACGAGCCACTCGCTTCCTGCCTAACCAAAAGAATGGATTGCGTATGTATGTTGTACTTAACTACATATAGATAGATATCATATATTATATTATATTATATCATATATTATATTATATTATATTATATTATATTATATAGATGTTATATATATATGTGTGTGTGTACATATATTAGTTGAGCTTATGTATGTAATTATATGTTGTGTTCACTTTTTCTATGGTCTTCTGCTTTTTCTATGGTGTATTCAACCGTTCCAAGGGTGAGACGTGCGAGGGTTGGTTTAGCCATGTTTAGCCCAGACACTGAGCGAGTCGGACGCTGCGAAGCCTTAGGGTCACAGCTTCAAAACAGTGCAACAACAAATAATTCTGCAGAAGGATAACTATAGCAACCCCAAAAAAAAGATGAAAAAATACGTCCAGGATGTAACATTGAATGTTATAGATGATGTTTTCCTGTTTTCCAGGTGTCCAATTTTTCTATCCAAGTCAGGTTGGGGCGGACAGCGGACAGCGTAAGCTCCAAACGCTGGCGTCCTTCTAAGGAAGTGCTTCCCTTGGCACGTCCCAAACGATGGGATTGGAAGTCACTTGAACAAAGATATGTATATATATATATAGTTATAATAATTATATATATATATATAATTATATAATCCGAATACGCAAAGGTGTGATAATTCGTATTATCAACTATGATGTATTAATAGTTATTATGTGTGTATGTGTATATGTATGTGCTGAAATATACTGATTAAACAATCAAAAGTTTCCGCCACGTTCATGGAACAGATTGAGTGTCAGCTGAACTATCCAATGAACTCATCGCAGATAAGGCACTTCTTGTTGCCAGGTTTGCAACATCTGAGACACTTCTAGGATGCTCGCAACAGAGCTTCTCGCATCCTGACAGTTTGGGCAACAGAAAATATCATACTTTCCAATACTTTCCATATTCTATGTACATCGACTCATGACATAATTCCATATAATTCCCGAGGTTCCAGGCCAGTGTCATACCACTGACCCTAGTATAGGGACACTGAAGGGGTTTGTCCAGCAATGGGGGGGGCAACATTGCCAATTTACGCCAATTTCATCGGGAAAATAAAGATCAACAACAGGATGTGCACCCTACTAGTAAACCTAGTTACAGACAAAGCCAAATGACGTTTTTTTTTCGACCAAGCCGCTTTCCCAGCTGCATTCGCAGTACTGCGCAGACGCGATGCACTCTCATCACCCTCTGGAATCGCATTGAGATGCTGCTCCCACAAAAGGAGCATCGACTCCAGGCTCTTTGCAAGCAAACCTAGCTATGCAAAATATGCAAATGCAAAGGAAAAAAACGTCCAGCCCCAATGAGAGCCCGCAAACACGAAAAGAGAACACCGGTGCATCCAAGCTATGTGTAGAATGCAAGACTGCAACCTCTCGCACAAGGAACTCAGATTGTAGAGGTCTTGGTTGGAGTTTGCCAAGTGTGCCATGGCTTTGGTGACTAGTTGCTCCACACCTAAGCCATGTCTGAAAAGCACTCAGCATGGCTACTGAGGCCTCAAACCTCTGGAGAAGGACATGCAGATATGTGCAGGTAGTTCAGCTAGTCTCACACCACTTTGCTAGTCTGCTAGTCTTTGCTCAGCTAGCGAGCTTCTCAATACAAGTGAATGATGCTGGGCACTAAACAAGCTCAAAGTCTCAGGCTGAACCAAGGTGCCAATGCGCAGCGTGCACTTCCCCCGAACCGTGAGAACCCTCTACCTTCGCCTCTTTCTTTGAGCCAAGTGAAAATCCAAAAGCATGAAGCCAGGCTGGGCCGGTTAAACGGTTCGGCAAGTGACAGCATGAATCAAACGGCCATCAGGTTGCACCAAAACTCAAGAATCCCATCTATTCCTACAAACTGGTGCAATAATTCCAGCCCATACTTTGGGGCCCTACTTTGGGGAAATGATGGAAATGTCGCAAATCTGTGCACTATATAGGTCCCTGACAGGCCAGATAGAGGGCAACCTGGCGGAGTGCTATGGCTGTGGAGTGCTTATGCACACTGGCAACATCTCAGAACGTGTGAACCTGGGTCTTCACAGGGAGCAGTACCAGTACCAAATGCGGTCAGGTTGACCCCCCTGGATTTCTGAGCGGAATCCTGCCTGGCCAAAGCAATTTGCGTGCTCCATCTTTGATCCCGCTTGCAAGAGCAGCTGAACCTCAAGGACTCAAGGAGTCACAATCAAAATCATCAATCAATCAATCAATCAATCAAATCAAATCAAATCAAATCAAAATATATATATATATATAATCAAATTATAGAAATCAAATCAAATCAAATCAAATCAATCAATAATCAATCAATCAATCAATCAATCAATCAATCAATCAATCAGTTGGAGTTGGTTTTTCACCCTTCAATCCATCCCCAGCCCCTCAGCTGCTCCCACATCCAGCCAGAAACCACTGCACCATGTCCGCGAGCCGCCGCCCGAGCCAAAGGGGTCTCACCCCGATCCGTCACGGCCTCTAAACGATGTAGGTCCTCCAGGGACCAATGGCTATCAGATGGCCAATGGTTCAACGAAATTTGGGTGGAGGCATGATGCGGCATGCGGCATGCAGCACGCGCAAACCATTCGAACCACAGGAACCACAGATCAATCGACATCCATCACCATCCGACAGCATTCAATGGCTCGGTTTAAGAGGAAATTGTTCAGACCTTCTACAGGAAACTCCATGGCTACCCTAAAAAATGGATGCCAGTTCTGGTACGCCTCCACTGACTTACCCGATTTCTTTAGGCATCGTTGGGGGCCAGCTCCAGCTCCCGCAGCTCCCATGCAAACCTGCTTCGAGGGCTTCTCTGACCTTGAAATCACCATTTTTGGGGGGGCGAAACAAAGATTGCACCAAGCCAAACCCAAAAAAATACAAGAAGGAAACATCGGGTTTACTCGCAGGAGATCCTATTTAAGGTGAGAAATATATATATCATTCTCACAGCATTGCAGGCCCCCCTGTGACACCACTGTGGCACCGAACTCTCTCGCAGCCTTGCCCAGAAGAACTGCTGTCGCCACAGCTGCCCCAGATTCAGCCGCAAAATGCAAAACACTACGTTGATCAACAGTCAGAGCTGCCTCGGATAATGAAAGCAGGTGAATCAAAATGAACCTGGAACTGGTGGAACCTTCAAAATGCGTTGAATCGCAATCGGGGGCTCCCTGTAAATTCATGTAAGTTCTACAGGAGTTGGTCCTCATGCAATCGCTTCGGTTCCCTCTGCTCCAGTGAGGTCCGCACAATGTCTGCCTTCTGCGAAAGGAGCATCTGGACCTCAAAGCTGCGTTGCAAGGTCCCAACATGACGCAAAAGGAAGATAGAAATTGAAAAAGTTTTCTCTACCATGCCTTTACCATCTCTATATATCTCGACTATATTCTACACTGATGGGGAGTTGCGTGTCTATCTCTTAGGGGCTCATGGCAATCCACTGGGACGGTGCCTCTTTTCATCCAAAGTGCGCCTCTGGCGGCAGACCATCCCACAGAACACGCAAGGTGATGCGAGGAAAGCGCCGGCGAAATTGTGCCATCGCACACATACATGACAAGCATGGCACCTCCGTCATAAAAAGTTCCAGTAGGCCTTCTACTTGGGCTTCATCTCCTTGAAATGAACCACATGGAATTTCGTCGCCAGTGCGAGCGCCATTGGCCAACAGCTCTTGTGCCTGCTGCACGTCATCTGGATCCCCCAGCAACGCTCGGGCGGCTGCTGCTGTTCTCGCCATGGCCCGGAACTCAGCGTCCCAGGCGCGGTGATCCACCCGGTCGTGGTGTAATTTCACATGCACCAAACCGGCACAATCCTCACGATACTTCACCACAGTGCTGTTCAGCAAACGCCCTGGCTCCCTCACCAGCAACCCATTGGCACTCACAGAAGAACGGAAGTAGCACCAGTTTTGACGTTCACCTCGGCCATCCATGTGCTTCAAACACCGAATCTCACTACCAATCACCAGCTTTTCCGTGGATCTGAGGACCCCAAGGCGGCTCAGAAACCGCCAGGAATGCTCGCTGCCCAAGCCGCGGATCCGAAACGCTTGAACCGACTCTTGATAGCGGCGAATGATGGAAGTCTCCCTTGGCTTCTCAGATGCCAAGATGGCCTGGAACTCTTCCGACCCAAGAAAACCAGTCAGGGCTTCACGTTGTTCTGAAAGCATTCTGGTAAGAGCCTGCCAGCCAACCGTCTGAGTCATCCTGGAATCCAGCTCCAACCAAGGGAGCACGGCATCATGAACCACCCAGGCATCATCCGCATCAACAGGCCCGTTTTTGAACTGCGCATGGAAGTGGTCCAGCAGCCGTTGCATGGCACCCAAGGTCCATTTTTCAGTCCCCAGCAATGCATCTCCCAGCCGTGGAAGGCCCGCGAAGGTGAAGGCCAGTAGCTTGGCATTGCTCCAGGTGCCAAGGCCTTTGGACCCGTTGGTCATTTCACCAATAAAATATAGAAGCTGGTCATGGCGATGCCGCAACGTGATGAAGGCCCAAGCCACCATGGCCAAGTGTTGGCCATGGAAATCTGGCCTTTGGCAGGTCTCAGCTGCAATCGCCTCCAGCAGATCTGCATGATATTCGCCGGCAGAGGCGAAGGCCCAGACCGTGTTGGAGAGATCCTGGTTGTTGAAATCGTGAATGGTGCGGATGGACGTGGCAGCAAGCACATCGTAGATGGTGCGATCTTTGGCTAGCAAGGTTGTGAACGCCCACGCAGTTGTGGAAATGTCCTGTGGGTTTAGCTTTTCGAGCTTGTAGGGAACTGCTTCACCAATCTGCTTGAGCAGCTCTTCTGGTCGATATAGTACCGCGGCAAACGACCAAACTGCCATAGCCAAGTGCTGAGGAGTGTAGGCATGGAGCCCGCGCAAGTCACTGTCGCCTCCTTCCAGCATGGCTGCGGCTGCCTTTGGCAGCAGATGCGTGCAGGCATCGGAAGGTGCCGCAGTGGCAAAAGCCCAAATGGTTTGCGCTAGCTGACTGGGCGTGTATTCTGGAAGCCGGGCAATGACCAAACAACTGCATCTGCGAAAGAAGGTGTCATCTTTCTGCGTCAGCTTCGCCCAAGACCAGGCAACTCTTGACAGATCACCAGGGGTCCAAAAGGTACTCCCTTCCTCATGAACCAGCCTTCCAACAGATCTCACTAGCTCTTGTACCTCTTTGCCCCTTATGTCAGCAGTAAGTGTTGCAAAACTCCATGGGATCAGGGATGTGCTCATAGCATCCCAGGAGCCAGGCCCTGTTCTTTCAGCACAGCGGATGGCGGCTGAATGGAGCAAATGCTGGCCATCGCCCTCAGCTCGCAGTCGGGCCACCGCCCAGGCCATGTTGGCCAGTTGCCGCGGCTCTGCCTCGTGCAGGGAAGCCGCCACAGACTGCATCAGGATGGGCCAGGAAGGATGACTGCGCACCTTGGCCGCAAGGGCATCCCGCCACTGGCGCTGGGTACGTTGGGCCGCTCCTTTGTCCACATCGTGGCTGAGCCGGGCCAAGCGATGCAAAGCCACAGTGCACGAAAATCCATCCAACTCAGATAATCTAACATTCAGCACTGATTGCAATTCCTCCACGCTTCGCGCTGCATTCAGCGATCCCAACGCCTGCCTCCTTTGTAAGAATTGAAGCCCAGCTTGACCACCGCGCACTGCTGCATCTGCTGCTGATAGTGCTATACCGGCTCGTTTAAGGCCACGACCTCCCAGGGATCCATAGTAAGATACTGCACTGGTCTGATTGGACGGCAATCCTGCTGCTGGGAGCCCCTCGTTGATGTCAACGTAAAATCGATTCGAGTTCGGTTTGTGGCCAGGGGGGTCGGCATCGAAATCCTCCGCCTTGCTCGCTGCAAAGGGAATCGAGTAGTAGGACACCATGCAAAAAAGTGCCGGCAACACTTCGGTTGATCGCTGTCATTTCCAGCCTCCATCAGCAAACTCGATCATCTTTAGAGTTTTGGCTGTTGCGAGTCAAAGTGGTGCTCCGGTCCTACCAATGGTTCTTTCACCACGAGTGAAGTGATACTTGGCTAATTAATGTGTATGTGGGGATACGGATCCTCCTCAAAAAATTATCTAACTTAAAGGTCGGAAGTATTCACTAGTTGTGAGTTGTGCGCTATTTTGTCTGGACATGTCTGGACGTTCCTTTGGAATCAATGTACTGGGAGCATGGGCTCAATGTGTTTCAATACATGCTGCATCTGTCCGGGGTCCGCTTGCTCTGCGTGTGTGTGTGCCTGTTCGTCTTCTCTTGTGCCAACAGCTGCGGTAATGGCGTGGGTCGTGGTACGTGATGATACGTCTGACTAGGAGGGTGTTTTCGCATGTAAAGGGATGGGCCATGAGATCAGGAATTGCCTTGACAAGAGAGCCCGACTTGGACACAGGGGTCAAACCAAAAAGCGTCCCAGGTTCTTGCATAAACCGAGCTTAAAGGACCTATAATAGCCTATACCATTGTTTGTAAACAACTGCATACGACTGCCAGACACTACGTAGGCTAACATACCCTGAATGAAGCATTGGAAAGCCAACTGTGTCTATCCAGAATTGTGAAGTTTTCTGCCCACAAAACTTGGAGCCCTCAGCTATGCCCTGTAATGGAGCGCTGAAGTGAAGACTTTGTAAAGGCAATACTCTGGCGATCTCTGGTGACTTGCACATTGACAATGTGTAGATTCGGGTAGGTGGTCATTGGCACTACGATAGCACTACGGGGCACTACTTGGCACTACGATGGCACGGGCTTGCCACTGATGCTGGGCCGCCCTGACGATGGAGCCAGAATTACTCTGGGCTGCAAGGTGCAAAGGCGTGATGCGATCCCGGTTCTCTGCTTGAATGCTGGCCTTTCAACACCATGTGTCTTGACTCTTTCGGCTCAAGGTGTTGGGAAATTCACCGGCCAACAGGTGCAGTCACCAGGCCTGTGCACTCACCAGGGCCTGCGAAATGCCCTCAAACCCCTGTCGGGCAGCCCAATGTAGCGGTGTGTGTGCAAGACCGTCTTGCACCTTGCCACCGCATGGAAGTACACAAGATATCACAAGATGACGTGGACTCTTCAGGTGCTCCATCTGCTGAGAAATTAAGAACAATCAAGAAGGTGAATCTATGTGAATCTAAACAACAAGGATAGAAAAGATCACAGCATTTCAGTTTTCATGGTCATCAGTGCATGATGTGTGGAGCATCTCTCTGTAAGCTTGGGACAGCTGGACTAGCACCCAGCTTCAGCAGTGCCTGAACTGCACGGTCTTTGCCTGGCCAAGTTGCAATGTGCTATAATTTTGATCTACCCCCGGGGCAGTAACAGTGAGCACAAGCCAGGGGCACAAAATGAGCACCAGCCAAATGCAGAAAATAAGGGTCTAATCTGGTGATATGATACGGATAAATTCTTATACCAAAACCAAACAATGGATCAGGTAGACACCATGAATATGTAAATCATCAAATGGTTGAAAAAATGTTTCATGTGAATCGGAAGGAATCAAGCTGCACAGGTGTATGTTTCTCTCTTCTCGGCTCTGGTTGCTACAGATTTGCTAGGAACTGGCCAACTTATCACCAACATTCCGTTGGAAACCTTAGCAATTCTTAGTAACTACGACAGCTTAGCAATGTGACAACTAGCAACAATAACAACAACCGCCCCCCACCAGCGAGAGCACCACCACGACCACTACAACCAGCAGTACCAGCAGCGGCAGCAGCAGCAGCACCACCACCACCACAACAACCACCACCACCAAACGCAAGGGTGGGGGGGGGGTGGGCCTGGGGCTGGGCCTGGGGCTGGGGCTGGGCTTGGCTGGGCTGGGGTGCTGGGGGCTGGTGTGGTTGGGTTGGGCCTGGGGGCGCTGGGGCTGGGCGTGGCGCTGGGGCTGGGGCTGGGGCTGGGGCTGGCGCAGTTGACTTTTTTGGTTTTACTGTTTTCGGTTTTTTGTGCTCGGCTGGTGCTCAAATTGTGCCCGGCTGGTGCTCAAATTGTGCTCGGCTGGTGCTCAAATTGTTGGTGCTCAAATTGTGCCCGGCTGGTGCTCAAATTGTGCCCGGCTGGTCCTCAAATTGTGCTCGGCTGGTGCTCGAATTGTGCTCGGCTGGTGCTCGAATTGTGCTCGGCTGGTGCTCAAATTGTGCCCGGCTGGTGCTCAAATTGTGCTCGGCTGGTGCTCAAATTGTGCTCGGCTGGTGCTCAAATTGTGCTCGGCTGGTGCTCAAATTGTGCTCGGCTGGTGCTCAAATTGTGCTCGGCTGGTGCTCAAATTGTGATCGGCTGGTGCTCAAATTGTGCTCGGCTGGTGCTCAAATTGTGCTCGGCTGGTGCTCAAATTGTGCTCGGCTGGTGCTCAAATTGTGCTGCTCAGCTGGTGCTCAAATTGTGCTCGGCTGGTGCTCAAATTGTGCTCGGCTGGTGCTCAAATTGTGCTCGGCTGGTGCTCAAATTGTGCTCGGCTGGTGCTCAAATTGTGCTCGGCTGGTGCTCAAATTGTGCTCGGCTGGTGCTCAAATTGTGCTTTTCTTGTGGTCCCTCAGCTGCTTTGCATTGATTTTTGGTCATTTCTGATTTGCCCAGGTGCCGGTGCTCAAATTGTGCTCGGCTGGTGCTCAAATTGTGCTCGGCTGGTGCTCAAATTGTGCTCGGCTGGTGCTCAAATTGTGCTCGGCTGGTGCTCAAATTGTGCTCGGCTGGTGCTCAAATTGTCGGTGCTCAAATTGTGCTCGGCTGGTGCTCAAATTGTGCTCGGCTGGTGCTCAAATTGTGCTCGGCTGGTGCTCAAATTGTGCTCGGCTGGTGCTCAAATTGTGGCTGGTGCTCAAATTGTGCTCGGCTGGTGCTCAAATTGTGCTGCTGGTGCTCGAATTGTGCTCGGCTGGTGCTCGAATTGTGCTCGGCTGGTGCTCGAATTGTGCTCGGCTGGTGCTCAAATTGTGCTCGGCTGGTGCTCAAATTGTGCTCGGCTGGTGCTCAAATTGTGCTTTTCTTGTGGTCCCTCTGGTGCTCGTTTTGTCGTCCCTTTGGACCTTTCCTTGCCCGGGCTAGTTTTTTTTCATTTTTTTCGCAATTATTTTTGCAGTCTCCTTGTGCTTTTTTTGTGCTTTTTTTTGTGCTTTTTTTGTGCTTTTTTTGGTGCTTTTTTTGGTGCTTTTTTTGGTGCTTTTTTGTGTTTTTTTCTGTGTTTTTTAATATTTTTTTTTGTGTTTTTTTGTGCTCTTTTTGTGTCTAGCTTGTGCTGGTTTTGGCGGTTGGTACTTACGCGTCAATGAAGTTTTGCGATTTAGGGTTCGAATGGGCTCGGGGTTTAGAATTTAAAGTTTAGGATGGATGCCAAGTATATAACATTTCCATTTTCCCACATGGCCAATCTGACTCCATGGTTGAGCACATTACGGTGCATTGTGCCAGTTGCATCAAGCGGCCAAATCCTTTCACAATATGTTCTAGTCCTTGCTTCGATGCAGACGCCTTGCTCGCACCTTCTCAGGGTAACACATGAATGTATTGTCTGTAGTCTGCGCTCTTCTTTTCTCAATGTTGGAATGCAACTGATATGCTTGAAAGATCTTGAAAGTGAAGCCCCTGTCTTGAATTCTGAATTCTGTATCAGAGGTTTGGAGGGCAGGTTGACGTTTTTTTTGGGCACCTCCTAGCCGAGATTTTTGGAGCAATTTCCTTGTGCTCGTTTTGAAAGGGTAGGTTAAAGGAAAATCATTTATCTGCTGTTACTGGGCGGGGGGTAGATCGAAGCTATAATGCAGTATCTTCTATGGATATATATGGCGTGATATGACCTACGATTGGGTATGGTATGATTATGTCAAAAAATATGCGATGACTTTCATCATATGAAACGCAAAGGAGTCAGAGAAAAAACTACTATATAATTAACGCATATAAACGCGCATTCTTTCACACAGACCCGGAATTATGTCGCTGTCAGCTCTTGACACCCGGCATGACTCGTCATGCCTTCGTAGACAGCGCGCAACAGTCCATCTTTCAGACACCTTTGCCTGTCGTCCTGCCATCAGCAGTTTCAATGCGGGGACTATCGGGGATTTCTGACAATGGGAACCCCAACGTAACATCATCCAAAATTATTTCTTTTTCATAGGGAAACCTAATAGTATCCTCATGGTTTTGGGGTCCTGCATTTTCAAGAAGCCCCTGTCTTTCACATGCATTGCCAAAAGTCGAGTGGAATTCGTTGAGAACATTTTTTTGGCCAGAACTGCCACGGACCCTCTTTTTATAAGATGTTACAAGTTACATGTTACTGACTGTCTTCTGCCTTCCTGCAGGTCCTGCCCTGCCTCACCTAGTCACATGGACCCGCATGCAAAATCACATATTTGATTGAATCTTATGGCAGCTGAATCAACCGAATTACATCCTATGATCATCTCCAGACCTTTACCTGGCTGGTCCTCCGACATTTCCATCAGCCGCTTGTGCAGCAGGTCTGTGTTTCCTGCAATGCAACTTCTCGCCGCTCCGGCCTTTTTTTGAATGCCGTTTAACACGTTTAACAAAAAGATCAATGATATAATTAATCGCAGGGCCATCCCCCGAATGTTCAACAACCCCCAGAAACCATGGTTCAGTACAGTTACATTCGTTTGAACCATTTCAAAGGTGTTTAATCTTGGGGTGAAGGGATTCAAAATGGAGTATAATCATTGTATAATCTGTTTATTTGACAGCCAGCCGCCATGCCTGCACCCACAGAATCATACGCATCCTGTGGAATGAGTGGCCTCATGACAGTCAGCCCAGTCCCCGAGATGTCGTGGCGTCTGGAAAAACTGAGGCAGCCGGACATGGCAGCGATAGGGCGCAGACCTGGCCGAGGTTTCAACCCGTTTCAACCTGTCTCAACCTGTTTCAACCTGCTTCAGGCAACAAAAACACACCAAAACACACCG